CCTGGGCTTGGGCGCGGGTGCGTGGTGTGTGGTTGGGTTGGGCTTGTTCGGCCCAATACTAATCTTTTTGGGCCAAAAACATTTGAATTTAATTTTATTTTTTATTAAAATAAAATCCAGAATTCAAATTAAATTGGTTTGGATTTTTTGTTCATCCAAACAGGGCCCTTCCCGTTTTTTGCTATCCATTTGACGGATATGCATTATCTCAATCTCATTATATTGAGAAAATTCTTGATAAATTTATCAAGGATGATTTGAATTTAACTAGAACATCTGTAGACATCAGTCTTTATTTATTGAAAAATAAAGGTGATGCAGTGTCTCAGTTAAAATACTCTCAAATTATTGGAAGCCTAATGTACCTAATGAATTGTACTCGTCCTGATATAGCTTATGCTATCAGTAAATTGAGTAGGTACACTAGTAACCCCGGAGAAGACCATTGGAAAGTGATCATTCGGGTTCTTAGATATCTGAGATTCACCCGTGATCATGGTTTGAACTTTACTCGATATCCAGCAGTACTGGAAGGTTATTGTGATGCAAATTGGATAGCGGATACTAAAGATTCAAAATCCACAAGTGGATATGTCTTTACTCTGGGAGGCGCTGCTGTTTCTTGGAAATCCACGAAACAAACTTGCATTACACAATCCACAATGGAATCCTAGTTTATTGCTTTAGACAAAGCAGGAGAAGAAGCAGAATGGCTTCGTCACTTCTTAGAACACATTCCAATGTGGCCAAAACCTGTGCCAGCTATTTGCATTCATTGTGATAGTCAATCTGCAATAGGCAGGGCACAGAATCATATGTATAACGGAAAGTCACGACATATTCATCGTCGACATAATACCGTTAGGCAGTTGTTGTCAAATGGAATAATCTCTATAGATTATATAAAATCTAAAGAGAATATTGCGGATCCGTTAACAAAAGGTTTGCCAAAAGAGCTAGTGTATAGTTCATCGAAGGAGATGGGATTAAAGCCTATTACATAAGAGTCGTCGTAATGGTAACCTTACTTATATGACTGGAGATCCCAATAACTAAGTTCAAAGGGACAACTAAGTTATGTATGGCTCGCCAGAAATCACCAAGGGATTAAAAATTCCCTACCCACTCCTATGGTGAGAGTGATATTTGCAACATATGTTGTATGCAGGGTATAAGGATAAGCTTTGCTTTTAATGATTTCTTATATCTTGATTGAGGCATAAATCAAGACAAGTATAAGGAGATACTCACAATAAGAATCACATATATGAGTGTTGAACTGGGGCCGGTTCTATGAGAATGAAGAGGCTAAATTCTCTAGAAACACTTATGAAAACCAGGCGCGTTCAAGGCCAAAATGAACACAACAGTGAGAACCACGATGTGTTAGAAGATATTTTGTGTGAAATCTATTGTCTTGGCTTACACAAACGACTGAACAATTCAAGGCATCGCGTCCATTGGCTAGCCAGTAAGTCCGATAGGTTACCACTAGGGAAGGTTCAAGGCCGAAAGTTGCCTATCCTGATGCAAGATATTTTCGACTTATACTCTTTCGATAAAGTCTGCATATTGTTGCATTTCCGTTGTCATCAAATTCCATTCATGTGGGGGATTGTTGGAAATGGTTAATTTTTCCTCAAGTTTGGTCTATTTTTTAGGTGGGCCCCGAGTGTCGATTAACTCGGGTCAAAGTGGTAACGTGTTCTATGCCGCGTTGTGATTCACGTGGTATATTTGGTTGCTCAAAACCATTACCGAGTGAATGGGAAATTGAAGCCAAAGTGTGCTCCATGGAAATGGAGTTTTGGTGGAAATTCCTTAAGGTTGTAAATTGGCTTGTCCCACATTGATTTGGTGGGGAGTTTTGAAAGGGTTTATAAGGCTTAGGGTGAGATACTTGGGGTGTGCCCCAAGGGGTACCCAAGTGTTTTAGAGGGAGAGGTTATGGGCAAAATGGGCTAGACCCATTGGACCCAAAAATCACCACACACACACACACGCGCGCCCTGCCGCCACCGTCTGTCCGGTCGGGCGAGCTGGGCTGGGCCTGGGCTTGGGCGCGGTGCGTGGTGTGAGGTTGGGTTGGGCTTGTTCAGCCCAATACTAATCTTTTTGGGCCAAAAACATTTGAATTTAATTTTATTTTGTATAAAATAAAATCCAGGATTCAAATTTAAACCGGAAATAAACTGGTTTGGTTTTACTATGCATCCAAACAGGGCCCTTCCCGAAATAAACTAGTCTGGTTTTTAACGTACATCCAAATAGGGCCCTTCCCATTTTTGTATCTGTTTAAATTATGAACCCAACATATTCAAATCTGTTTGAATTCAAAACCAACAGGTTTCATACCTGTTCAATTCAAAACCAGCAGCCATCTTTACATCTATAAATAGACTAGCCTCCCATTTGGATTTTTACTCCAATTTTCGTACTCCATCCTCTGCTATAAATCTCTGTATTTTGCTGCATTTAATTTCTAAAAGAAAGAGTATAAATACTTAGTGTGTTCGTAAGGCAAACAATTTGTAGTGCTGCTATTGTTTGTAGAAGATCATTTCATCCTGGGAGATAGACGTCCGAATTCTGAAAGCACCGTGGAGAGGACGAATCTGTCTTAAGGACACAGTGTCAAACACTGGACTTGATCAGATTATAATTCGAACAAATTAAATCAAGTAAGTTATTTAATTTATTTTCAGTGTTATTGTTATTTATTTAAATCATATTTTAATTTTGTTTTTGTAACAAAATAAAATTTGTTTTTATTTATTTATTTTTTATTTAGAGTTTGATTTTTTGTAATCAAACAAATTCTCTCATTTCTTTTATTTCTTTATATTCTGGTTGTTGTTTAGTATACAACAGAATTTAATTTATTTAAATACAGTGAAGATTGTCCGACAAATATATGCTTGTATGATAAAAATTGAGACGAAAAGGCAAGAAAGTAGAGCTTTTGAAATATAAAAAAAAAATGCAACAAAGAAATCAAAGAGAAAGAAAGGTAAATAGACAGAAGACTGTGTTACCATGAAAAACAGAATTTCATGATTTCAATTTATGCAAAACCCTAGTTCATCTTCTTAATTGTTCACAATCTGTATTTTGTTTTAGCCTAATACAGTTATATTTTGATATAAATTTTGGGATAAAGTATGTATTAGTGGAAAATGTAGATGGTTTTCTTTCTTTTTCTTATGCGGTAGTCACATTCTTATTACATGATTAGATTCTGCCAAAGATTTAAACAACTGAGTAACTGAAAGGGAACATTGACACTTGTATAGGGACCATAGTGAGATTTTATCAAAAAGTATAGGGGGTTGACTGTTACAGTTTCATGTGCAGAGACCAAAGTGAGATTTGATCAAAAGTGTAGGAGGCTGACTGTCACAATTTCATGTGTAGGAGCTAAAGTGAGATTTGGTGTAAAGTGCAGGGTTGTAAATTGTAATTTACCCAAAAGAAATATATAATCTCAAAATATTTATAATCTTAATATATATTTTAGATATTTCAAAACATTTTCAAATATAAATTTCAAAATATTTTATACACATATTTGAAAAATACTTCCAACAAGCACAAAGAAATATATTATTACGACAATTTCAAGGACTAGAGAAACAGAAAAAAATACCGTACCCATCGACTTGATTTTGCAAAACCATCCCTCCCAAATCCGCAAATTCTCTAAGTGCAGCCCTCCATTCTTTTACCTTATGCATCCATTCATTTTTTATTTCATCACTTTCTGCCTCAATATTCTCATGCCTTGCAAATGCCTCTGCAAAGCTTCCTGTTTGGTTCTTAACTTGAGAAGGATCGACGTCGTAGAAGACAGGTAGAACCATATGCTTAGAGGTCCTCTTGCATTCGAGGATCATCAAAAGTTCGTCAAGACACCATCTTGAAGATGCATATTCTTTCGAGAACACGACTACTGAAATCCTTGATACCCGAATCGCTTTATGCAATTCTAACTTAATATTTTCTCCTCTTTCTATATCATCATCATCTTTGAATGTGCGAAATCCTGCCTGCACCAAACTTGTGTAGAGGTGATCAGTGAAGGCGTTGCGGGTGTCTTGGCCTCTGAAACTCAAGAACACGTGATAAGTAGTAGAGATATTGGAGGAGGAGCATTCTTGGCCTTTCATGCTACCCATTGAACGGATTAATGTTCTTTTCTTAGCTATGGTTAAGGATTGATCAGGAATATATATATGTATATATAGCAATATCTGTCAAGGCTGTTCAAATATTGTTTGTGATTGAGGAGTGCGTTATATTAGATGAAGTTCCTAGCATTTTATATTTTTCAAATATATAACAAAATATTATACACTTTAGATATTTTTTTTAATATTTATTTCTTTTACAAAAAAAAAAAAAAAATTAATTTTAAATATTTGTATAGACAGTGATATAAAACAATGACTTATCAGATTTCTCTTTGTAACAGCATTCACACCAAACTTATTAAATTTTTATTTAAATTAAAGCTATTTCATTATTTTAGCTAATCACTTTTTAACACCTACTGCATCAAACTCTTTATTCTATCTTATTTTATTAAATATTATTTTCTTATTGTGTTTATATTTATTTCTTTTACAAAAAAAAAAAAATAATTTTAAATATTTGTATAGACAGTGATATAAAAAAATGACTTATCAGATTTCTCTTTGTAACAGCATTCACACCAAACTTTTTAAATTTTTATTCAAATTAAAGCTATTTCATTATTTTAGTTAATCACTTTTTAACACCTACTGCATCAAACTCTTTATTCTACCTTATTCTTATTAAATATTATTTTCTTATTGTGTTTGTTAGTCTTTCTTTTTCTTTTTTTTTTTTCTTTTTTTATTGAATTGATAAGTTACTAGCCAAACAATTCTTAAAAAAAGAAACAAAAAAATAAAAAATTGGTCGTTGACAGGCTGGACATCCGGTAACACTATTGTAACGATGAACAGTGTCTCGCTTGTTGTAACGAGTTATCGTAGCACTCGTAAATTGGCAACCTACTGTAGCGAGATTGATGCAAATGAACAGAATCATCAAACTAGCTAAAAAACGACTTTAGTTAGTTTGATGTGGATGCTCTAAGGTCGTGCATCATTCCAGTGTCATTATTGATGTAGGAAAATTTGTGTATCCTATGCAATTTTAGTTACCAATTTTATAATTTTGATTATGGTTTATTGTGATATTATTGTGATGTTAATTATGATATTATTTTGGTTATAATTCAAGAGCACTTTGGTTGGTAAATTATACATTGCATCAAATTCCACTTTGATCCTTATACATGAAATCGTGTCAATCAACCTTCTATACTTCTAGTCAAATCTCACACATGAAATCGTGATAATTAACGCAATGCAGTTCTCGTCAAATCTCACTTTAGTCTCTACACAAGTATTAATATCGCCAATCTATTACTCTATTATTTAAGTTTTTGACAAAATCTAATTATGTGACAAGCATGTGATTACAAAATAAGAATAAGAGAGGAAAATCATCCATATTTTCAACCAATGCATATTTTTTTTTTAACATATGTGATAAACATGTCAGAGTTATATAATACAATATATATGTTCATATGTTGAAATTTGAGATGAAGAGACAAGAAAATAGAGTTTTTGAGATTTTAAAAAAAAAACAGTAGAGAAATGGAAGAGAAATGAAGATGAATAGATAGAAGATTATTTTACTGTGAAAAATAGAGTTGCGTGATTTCAATTTCTACAAAATCCTTAGTTCATTTCCTTAATCATTCACAATCTATGTTTTGCTTTAGCCTAATACAGTCATAATTTGATATAAATTTTAGGACAAAATGTGTATAAGTGAGAAATGGAGGTGATTTTCCTCCTTTGCCCTCATTTCATAGTCATATACTTATCACATTACTGATTTTTGTTTTTTTTATTAGCAAAAGAAGAAAGACTTTATTCATGAAATTTGCATATATATATATATATATATGAGAAATACATCAATAAAAGTGAGGGAGTGCTACAAGCATCAAAATAGAATCTTCCCAATCTCAACTAGGGGTTGTTTGGGATGATCTAAATAAGTACACTTTTTGACTTTTTATGAAATATGGGTTGGATTTGGGTTGGGTTTGAAGTGATGTGTTAGAGAGGTGATGTGACTTAAATAAGATGATGTGACTTAAATAGGATAGTGACTTTTTGACTTTTTGTCTTTTTCAAGACATGCCAAACTTGGCCTAAGTTAGCACTAAGAGCCTACACAATCATGTGCAAACACAAGCTTTAAGTTGACGAGAAATCAACAAAAGACCAAAGAACCCAACAACACCACACTTGAATAGTACATCAGCCACCAATCCAATTAGAACTTTAGAATAGTATCTTCCTCGTTGCAAATTATCCACCAAATCATGAACAGAGTACAAACAATCTCTTGAATAAGCTTTAAACCATAATGCAACCCTTGTCTTTACCAGATCACTCAACTCCTCCATCATAGGTTGACACTTGACTAGAAGGGTAAGGAGTTGACTATCATAATTTTATGTGTAGGGATCAAATTGAGATATGGTGTAAACTGTAATTTATCTACTCTTTAATTGTACCTTATATAGGTCTGGTTTGGCATCTCGTAAAAAAGATAAAAAGTCAAAAAATTACTTAAAAAATTTAAAAATTATCACTATTCACAAAAAAAAAAAAAAAATAAATAAATTTAAACATAAAAAATACAACACAACTGGTCTTAAAAATGAAGTGATGTAACCATTTAGAAATGATGGCTGTCCGTGCGCTGTATTGGTCCTAAAAATGATTTTCTCCTTTGCGGGTAACTATTTAGACCGTGTTGTTTGGCTTGTGGGGGCCACCACGGGTCACATTTTGATAATCTGAACCGTCCATATATAGAATTCATTGAGTACTATATGCTTGTAAAAAATCACGTTGATTAGATATTGCTAACTAAATGATGAAATTAGTTTTGTATAAAAAAAAAAGGATGGTGTTATAGTTAACTGGTGAACAAAAACTAATCCGATAAATATGATTTCGATATCCGATCAATGTGATTTTTTACAAACATATAGTACTCAACGAGTTTTACATAGTGAACGGTTCAGATTATCAAAATGGGACTCGTGGTAAGCACCACGGGCCAAACAACACAATCCAAATGGTTGCCCCACGAAGGAGGCAATCATTTTCTTATCTTCTTCCCCCTGCACAGAAAACGCACCGTACAGCCTATTCTACTTCACTTCTCCTATACATTTATTTATACTCCCTCCGTCCCAAAATATTAGTCCCTTATTCCATTTTTCATTGTCCCAAAATATTAGTCCCTCTTCAAAAATCAAGTACAAAAATAATGTGAATTTCCTATTTTGCCCTTCTTTTAAATTAATAAACAATGTAAAAAGTACAATTATGACATTGATATTCCCAAAAAATGTACTATCAAAAGGGTAATTTTGGAAAATTAACTTTTTTCAAATACAATAATTGTACTACCAAAAAAAGTTGGATTCCCCAAAAGGGACCATTATTTTGGGACGGAGGGAGTACAATTTTTTATTACACGCTTTTTTGTAAAAAGACAAAAGATTAACCCAAACATTTATCTTTTTTTTTTCAACTTTTTAGTCCAAAAAGATAAAAAATATACTTATTTAAGACACTCCAAATAACTCCGTAATGTTTAGTTATAACTCTCTTTTTTTCTTTTTTTTTTTTTCTTTTTTAAATTATGACCTATGACATTTGTGGTTATCATAACTTATATATAGCCCTGTTTGGTAGAGCTGTGGGAAAGTGTTTATAGCTTATGCCTTAACAGCTTATAGGTTATAACATAAGTTGATTTCTGACTTATAAACTAAGCTTCTCCAGCCCCACTCAAAGAATAAGCCGATTTCTGACTTACAAAAAACTATAAGCTGCATTGTTAAGCTAAACCAAACACATCAAAATAGCTTAAATTAAGCTGAAAGCTGAAATAAACTGAAAAAAAGCTATACCAAACAGAGTCATTGTAGCATTACCCATGTTATTATGTATGCTATGAGGAAAAGATCATTGCTATACATACATAATAGGTATCCATGGTACACACCAATCTCGTTTGGGATGTGATTATTTTAGTTAATTTTTTAATTTTTTTATAAAAATATGTGTAAAATAATAAAAATAAAAATATAATTAGATATTTTAACTTTTTAATTATTTTAACCAAAAAGCCAATATTCAAACAGCTACTTAATGTTTATGTTATCAAGTAAAGGAGAATTCTATAATTATAATTAACTCTACTGTTACGTATGTTTAGTAAACCCTAAACCCTCCTGTTATCATATCCTTGTAAGGTAATTTTATTGTACGCACTTTCATATGTAAATTATGTTATTTGTGATATTACTTATCACAAATTTCATAACTAAATCATCTTCAGTCATAATTAAAAAAAGAAAAGAAGAAATTATAACCAAGCATTACATGAGATATAATTGAAGATTTTTTGAATTATAATTAAAATAATATCATAAAACATTATAATGAGTCATAACTAACAGCATAAGAGTCATAACCAAATTATAATTAACACCACATGTTATATTCAAAAATCGAAAAAATCATAACTGAGATATATGATACGTAACTTTTTGAGGGGTATGTATCATAGAATTATCCCTTGTGTAGTAATGATGTTTTTGGGGAAGTTATTTAATAGTCTAGGAGTATTTTTCCACACCATTCATATTTGGACAAGTGTTCAGTTGTCCCCTTCCCAAAGGAGGCAAACAAGTAGTGAGACCTACTGTTTTACCAATAATATTTTAATTGGGACACCACCTAGATTTGGCCTTGGGGCAATGAATAATTTTTCAAGAATGAGACCCGTGTGGAAGAATATTTATTAACAATGTGTGGACCGTGTAGAGTAAGGGGATATTTGCTAACCTGATTCAGCATTTAAAACTAATGCATTAATTGATACTCAATTAAATCTGTTTAATAATCACAATTGATATCACTTACTCTTAAAATGTAGGTTAAAACTTAAGAAAATTTTAAATCATATGAAACTTACTTAATTCTTACTGAATTTATAAATACAAAACATAAGTATCAATATACACTATTATAAACGTACCACC